TGCAAAAGCACACATCTACAGAGAAGTGTGCAGGGGCACATGCATGCCCTCGGGCAGCAAAGGCATGTTTCGTTACTTTGATGCCAAGATTTAGTGAGTAACTCCAGAGATAAAGTCCTAATTCTCTTATTTGGCGGTGACAGTGTCTGCACAGGGTGATGTGTAATGAAAGCGAAATGAACTCTGAGGATAAAGTACTTAGCAGACAGCTAGAGAAGGAGTATTTCTTTGATTTTAGACAAATCCTCCCTTCGGTGTTCTGCTTTTGATCTTTACATGGAAGGATAAGTTTTATGTAAGACAAATGTCTGTTAAAGTTTTATTTTAAAAGCATGCTTGTAACAGAAGGTGGCACACTGATTAGATTTGACATTTGAAGCCAGGCAGTCTAAACAGCCCAGGAATGTAGAAGGATTAAAGTGAGGTCTCACATAAAAACTATTGCTGTTTTATTAGGCAAGCGTAGCCTTTTAGGCAATGAAGTTTAGGCGTTATTAATCTATGCTGACAGATAATGGTTAATATTTGGGCAGTTGTAATTTTTTTTTCTTCTCTCTTTTCTGGTTAATAGAGCATGACAGTGCACAAAAGATTCTTCAGCTGTTGTACTTGATGTAATTTTGGGAACAAATAATAGTTATCGTTTGGAAACACTGCGTCTAGCTCTTGGGGACCATTTGAAAAGCATCATTTACAGTCATAACTGAGATGGTTGAGGGCTCCTGGGAACTAAAGACGCAGAACCAGCTGCTCAGGGCCTGCATCCCCGCAGCAACAAGGTGCAGCTTTTCATAGCTGGGAGGAGAGCCTGGGCTGCAAGCAGGACCCTGCAGGCTGGGACCTGGGGGCTGCGACTGGCGCAGGGGCTCTACCTGGTTTGCACGACTGAGACCTTTATCCATCTCTGAGTGCAACCAGCAAGGATGGAGCAGCGCAAATTCCTTGGAGACAGGCATGACCCTCTGATGTGCGTTTAGTCCAGATGGAGAGTTCTTCTGTCTTACTATCTGCTTTGCAAACCCGTTGCAAGGTCACTGCTATTTCTGAACTATCGCAGCAGTTCAAGAAACTATAAGAGTTAGTCTCAGCACTATATTACATTTCTTGTGGATGACTATTTCCTTTTGTCCAATTCATCCTCTTGCCTAGCAGTCAGAAAGGTTAAAGAGTAGCATTTATTAGTGTAAAAAATTGTCCAGCAGAAAGAAGAGTTGAACTTTAAGGAGCATGATTGATTCACAAGGGATTAATCTCAGTTTCCATTTGTCTATAACAAAAAGTGTCCATTCATGTCTTTACACTTCTGATGGTCATAAATATGAAAAAAATCAAATTAACCATCTAATTATTTCCAATCATATAGTTCATGACAGAGACACAACTGGCACATGTGTGGGCTTCCTCATTCTTTCCAGGGTGCAGTTTACAAAACACAGGAGATAAAAATGATCCAAGCCATAAAACAGCAGCACCAAATACCCAATTCTCTATTCAAGTGATCAAGATAGCTCAATACCACTGTCCCTGCTGTGTGTAACTGGATCAAGTCAGTCAGAGGAGAGTTTGCACCACTGGAGTCATTCAGCACTGCCAACACGCTTGATTGCAAGCCGAGGGCTAGTGCTGGCAGCTGGGGAGATGCCCAGTTTCCTTTCCCAGCAAGAAGGAACTGGCTGGCCCAGGGCCATAGCACAGTTCTGCCCTTCCTCAGGCTGCCTTGTCTGGCCATGCATTGTGCCAGTAAAAACACAGCAAACAGAGCTGTGTCTGGTTCCACGTCTGCTCAGAGAGGCTCCTGACTGTCTACCCCTCTGATGAGGGCTGCTGGTTTACCCCACCAAGACAGTCACCGAGTTGCTGTCTACCCAGGGTAAGGGCATTTTTAATATGCGTGCTAATTTTAAACCAAACGGCCTTCCCCCATTCCACCACTGTTTCTGCCCAGGCAGGCAAGTGTGAGTGCAGGTATGAATATTCTCTCACTTCAATCTCCTTCCCTACCTCAGATCACTTGGTAGCTCAAGGACTGAGCAGTACAGTGAGGATTGAAAAATGGCAGCACTGAAGATCATGCAGAGCATCCAGGTTCTTGTTAGAGATCTGTGTCCTCAGTCAATGGACCAGCATCACTAATGACCCTGAGACAATAATTGTGGCAAACTAAATAGCCAGCCATTAGAGATCAGAATGCATTATAAGAGACCAAAAGTACATTAAAGTTCATACAATGGTATCTGGGTAAAACCTTCGATGCCTCACAAATAAATAAATGATTCTTTGAATCAGGAGTTGTAAAAGCCAAGTTTTAAATAGGGCTGACATTAAAGTGCTAGTGAAGATGCTTTGTCTGTTCAGACTGATCAGATCTGAGAAGGGAGAACCACAGAAACTTGTCACTGGGAGGCACCACATCATTCCACATGGAGACTTGGCAGGGGATTCCCGCAGGGCCAGGCTGAACCCTGTCCTGATGCTCATCCTAGTGTGTGATGGCCAGATGCTGTCATGGCCCATGGCAGGCTAGGGGGCTGACTCCTGACCCATGTGCAGGGACAGCCCTCCTTGTTCTCTCACAGGGGCTCACCCACAGGCACTGCTTCAACAGCATTTTCAAATACTGGTAGCTAGAAACAAGAATTTGTAGGAAAGAGTTTTGCCTAGTTTGCTCCTGAGGGGGAACAGCTGAGACAGTTGCCCCCTCTGCGTGTGGGTACCACCCTACAAAAAACCACTCCTCAACCTGCTGGGAAGGGGCTGTGGAGGGGCAGGAGTCAAGTGAGAAAGCCTGGCTGTGCAAAGCTGTTGTCCTGGCACTGATAAATGTCATGATAATTTGATGCCAGGGTATTTACCATGAGATCAGCTCTCCAGAGACAGCAGCTGGCAAACGGCTGGTGCATTTCCAGGGCCTTCAGCTACAGCAGGTTGCTGCTGCTTGATGGAGCACCGAGGGAGCTGCAGCAAGTCCAGTCTGTGACCAGCATGGTAAACACCACCAGCATGCTAAATCCCTAATAAATTGCTTGAAGAGTGCTTGAATGCCAGAGTAATGATGGGGGTGGGAACATCCTTGATAATTGCAGAAAGAGTGGGTTGCCCTGGGAAGTGGAGTGGGCAGGATTCCTCCTCCATATTTATGCTGTACAATCAAACATGTCTCTCACTGCCCAGAAACCTTCCTGTTTCCTTAATATCTTTGCGTGGAAAGAATAACACATTGGAATAGAGTTATGGCTGCAACAACTGTACCTATGTCAGAAAATAAAAAAGGACAGAAGATGCACTGCTGACCCAAAAGCAAATGTCAGCACTGTGGTGTGCCCAGACCGTGCTGGCTGGATCAGCTGTGGTGGGGGGAGGAAGGTGGGCTCCTTTGAGTGGGGATACACTCACTGCTCAGGTCTGCACCCTGTTATTTATCACTGCAGACAGAGATGAGAACAGGATTCCTGCTACAGAGTGAGATATATACATGAAGAATATTTGCATATGAGATATGGGTATAAGACTGAGAGGAAGAAGGAAGAGAGCTCAACTCATAACTCCTCATTCAGATTGTTAGGGAGAGTTCATTCAGCTGTGCTTCTCGCCCTGGAAACAGTCTAGAGACTGTACACTAGTGACTGAAATTTTTAACAACATAAAAATATGAATAATGAGCAAAATTTGATTTAGTATTGATTTAATTAGAGAGCTTTAGTACTGATTTAATAAAAGAGAGCTTCTGTGCCATATGCTCAGATAGTGAAATTAGCCATTTGGTCAGAAGAGAGAATCCTGAAGGCATTCCTGCCCAACCTGAAAAATAAACCCAAACAGCTGCTGGTCAGCAGCAAAGTGTGCTTCAGTCAATTGTTCCCACCCGAAAAATACAAGATTATGACAATCTTGGAACAGCTGGCAGGAGATGCCCACTGAGGGCTGAAAAATTCTACATGAAGATGCAAGGTACAATCTAATGCAAAGCTAGAATGAAAGGCTGTTGTTACACTATGCACACCAGTAAGACCTGGATGAAGAAGAATGGTCTGAACACTTTAGGAATACCCTGAACTACTGCCTTGGAAGAAAAAATGTTCTGTATTATGCACTTCACTGGGAGGCAGCCTTGCTGCCAAAGAAAGATGCAGTCTTTGTCCTTTGTAACGGGATGAACTGGGTGACATACATTTGCTGATGCACTTTTGCCTGGCAAGGTGTTGACCTTCAGAGGTTTTCTGAGCCCAGGGACTCCCCCTGTGATCTAGCCCAGGCCCCTCATTCTCCAGCCTCTCCAGCTCAGTGGTGCAGGCTGGCAGAAGGAGCCAGGGACTGCAGTGCTCACAGGCAGCATCCCACCCCAGCTGCTGGGCCAGCTCAGAGCAGTGACAGCAGCCTGTGGGGAGGAAAAACTGTGGAAATCAGAACCCAGGAAATCTGGCTTAAGACTGGGGACTGCCTTGAATAGGGGGTTGGACTGGTAGGGATGCTGCCGGGTGGGGAGTGGATGCCCGCTCCTCTGAGAGCTGCTGAGAGTGAAGAGCTTAGGAAGTCCTGGCCCTGACTGTGGGAGCAAGTCCAGGAAAGGGGCTGACACCAGGCTGGGGCCAGGCAGGTACCCTGCTGAGCTGTGTCCCAGAGAGGGCAGGGCCAGGAGGGATGTGGTTATCCCAGACAGAGCTGTGTCCGGGCCAGCCAGGGACAGGAGGGATGTGGTTATCCGACAGAGCTGTGTCCGGGCCAGCCAGGGACAGGAGGGATGCGGTTATCCCAGGTGAAGCGCGTTCGGCTGGGGAGCACGCCTGCCACTGTACGACTGGATGGCCATGCCTTTGCTCTCCACTCTCTCTGCCTGGTCCTGAAGGGCTCTGGTTGGGGCTGAATACATGGTTTCTGTCCATGTGAAAGAAATGCTCTCTGGTTTTCATTTCAGTGAGAAAATATTGTTTCCATCCAAATTGTTTTCCTCCTCAGGTTTGGCAGCTCATCTCATAACCCATTTTTTTTTTTTCTCTTCCCAGACTCCTAATTACAAATTCCCATGCTGGGGCACATAAAAATATAAACAATACAAAAGACTTTCACTTTGGACACGTGACCAGGACATAAATATTGACACGAAAAAAAGATTCAGGACTGGAACAATGCAAGAGCAACACTGACTTGTTGCTTCTCTGAGTTTCTGGCATCCTCTCATTCTCATGGAGGTAATCTCTTCTCTTTCTCTCCTCTATTTTAATGTCTTTTATTCTATTAGGTATCTTTAATTGACAGTGGGTGCATATTCATTGCAGAGGTAATAGAAAAGGAAGAAAATCAGTTTTTCAGTGTGCATTTCCATGCTGTGCTGACAAACTGCTTCTCTGACTGTCATAATAATAAATCAATAACCACACAGAAATAGACCAAAGATGGTTGTGCCATGTGTTGGCTGTACTACAGCTGCGCTGGAGAAGATTCATACTTAGAAATTAAAATAAGCCCTTCAGTGGACAACTCAGAGATTGTTTTTAATTACAGGTATTAGTTAAATATTATATTGGATTTATTTCCAAGTCACAAAAAAATCTACAATTTTTGTCAAGATGCTTTTGGTAAATGATAAATATACAGCTCTCATACGAATCATGTTTCTTTTTTAGAAATGCATATTTTCAGTTTATCTCCTTTTATAATAATAAAAATAATGGGCTACCTGTTTATCACTATGCAAATCAATGTATTATTAATAAGTAAGGCACAGTTTTGGTTGAATAAGGCTGGCAAATATCCTATTTCCATTTCATGAGTTGTGCATCTTCAGAAATGTTTATTAAGGGGAGAACACTCACTGTATTAGCATTCTCCATTCTCTGGTACTAACCAGTTTATTGCTGGTCTGGATTTGGGGAAAATCAGTTTAACATGGAAGAGAGTGTTGGAATTTTTATTGATTAAATCTTCTCTTGCTTTTTGTTGCTATGGAAACAGCCCCTTTTTATTCTTAAGCCATTTGATCGTACCATTTCCTATTAAGCAGATTTACATTTCTCTTGCAGTTTCAGTCCCACCTTGCCAGTAACAGTTCCTCCCAGTGGTCGGTGGCTCTGCACCACCCCAGGTTTTCACATTTCTTCATTACAGCAGAAAGTTAAAGCTGTGTGACATTTCCCACCCAAGTGCTCGTCCTTTGCAGCAGCAGTGCAATGGGAAAAGTAAAGCTCTGCAGGCTGGGCTGCGTGGTGCTCACCAGCCCGCAGTGACCACAGCGGCCCAGCCCCGGGGGGCATGCCAGCACCCCCAGCCCTGCACCCAGTCCTAGTCCTGGGAGGAGAGGGGGAAGCTGGGCTTGCGGTGCATGGGATGGGCGGTGTAACGAGCTGCTCATATTTGGCTCTACTTGGCATGAAAGGCCCCAGGAAAAGAGAGAATCAGGGAAGATGAATCTGTGCAAGCTGCACACGTCTTGCAGGAGGTGCCTGTGCTCCCCCATGATGGCCAGCCCAGCACTTTCCCCATGTGCACTGAGCCCACACGTTCTCTGCCCGGCTACTCCCTCTCTCCTGCCAGCTGCAGCTTGGGAGGGGATGGGGCTGCGGGTGATCTCCCCGAGGCGCAAAGTTCCTCCGGGGTAAGGAGGGTGCCCGCCTGGCCCCCGTGAGGGTCTCACATGAATCTAGCATCACCAGCAGTACCCCTTCGGGGGAGGCTGGGGGACTTGTGACTGCCCCCTGTGTCTTTGCACACAGGGAGTGCTCTGAGTGGAGATGACATGTCCCCGGCCTCAGCAAAGATGCATGTACTGGTTTTGGCTGGGATAGAGTTAGATTTCTTCACAGTAGCTTGCATGGGGCTGTGTCTGGGACCAGTGGTGAACGCAGTGCTGGTCACCCAGGGATGTGTTAGTCACTGCTGAGCAGTGTCGCACAGCCCCAGGGGCCGTCCTGCTCCTCACCCTGCCCCGCCAGCGAGTGGTTGTGATTGAGGAAAACAGAGACTTTGGGTTTTGGACCTAGTGGTCACGAGGGTGCAGATTCTGCTTCATCCAGTGTTTGTAAAACTTCTGGATAAAAATCTGGCATTTGTTCTCTCTTTCACCTCTTCCTATTATTATTAATCTCAAATTAAGGTCTTCCAAGCCTGTTGGCCCATGGATAGATCTAGTGGTAAATGGAGGAAAAGGGAGAAATATGGCATTTTGAGCACTTAAGATAGGCAGATCCTCAATAGACAGGTCTAGAGTTATTTATTGTGGTACACCGTTATGCTGTGGGCTTTAGAGAAGTATTTTCTTTAGAATGTGAGTTTCCGTCAGTGGTGCATGCAGTACACAATGCTCCTCATTTATTTTGATCAAACATTAGAGAAGACAGAAGCATTACTTGGACTAAATTGTATAAATCTTGTTTCAATTCCCTATGAAGACTGGCAATCTCTTTGTCAAGCTTCTGAAAAAAACAGAGCATCAATGTTTGACAACAGTTCTGACTGCTGAATAAATGCTGGCAATTATATTATCAGTTTATCACAGTTTATTACATAAAAAATCCTCTCCGTTATTCAAGACACACCTGCGCGCATTATTTTCAGAGATGTCTCAGGCTTGTTAAAGTTTTCTCAAGTATTCTAACAATAGGTGTAGACTTGCCTTTATATTTTTGTTGTTTCTACCTCACAGCTGATGATTAATGTTCTTATTTATCATCACAATCAAGTCAGAATCTGAGATGATGAATGTTGCTTTTAGTAGTTTGTCTCTCACTCACAAATTCTCAGTTTGATGCTAATGCTGAACTCCTCATTTACACATGGCTCTGTTTACCAGTGCTTAATGGTTGCAGCAGTTAACCGTTTTTACTGAGTTCTCTTGGCTACTCTCCTGCATGCAATGCAGATTTAGTATAAGATACTTGAATGATTAGAAAAATAGACTGCCAATGTGAGGATATACCTTCCTGAAAAAATTAGAAATTATGCATATCTCGCAGTTTTATGTACTGAGATTACAGTCACGTTAACATTACTGGAAATCTTTAAGATGCCAGGCCTGCCCACCGCCTGTCCCGGGCCCCTGTGCGAAGCACCCGCAGCCCTTCGCCGCAGCCTGCTTCTGCCAGACGGGCTCGGGACAGAGCAGGGGCTTTGCAGGTCTCCTGGAGGATGAAGGTGACAAACTGCTGACTGCAGCTGCTGGCTTCTCTGGTCAGAAAATGATGGGTGATGTCTGGAGGGGAGCAAGGCAAAAGGGGGGACCTGCACGCGGAGCTGGTGGCGACTGACTGTGTGGAGACAGCTAAGCTGCCTGGGTTGCTCTCTGGCATTAGGGATGTAGATGAAGCAGAACCTTGGTGGAACTGAGAATTAAAGCCGCTAAAGAAACCTGGTCATTTCAACAAGACACATAAAAACTGCCATGGGCATGGAGAAAAGGACATTTCTTTTCCACGTCAGCATTCGGTTGTTCAGGGGAATAAAATGTCCTATTGCTCTCTTGTGAAGTAACTTAGACATTATAGTATCAGCTGCTAATTACAATTTTTATTATACCTATGCATGTATTAGAGTTCTAATAGAAACAAGAGATACATAATCATTAAAACTAATCAATCACTTTTCAGCATGGATTTGTTCCTTATTTATTCTAAACTAACTTCAAAAATGTTTCTAATATGATGCTATCAACTAATCTATTTCTCCAGCCTCATCTGAGAGACAGAAGTTCAAGCAGCAGAGACAACTGTTTGCTTTTCCCTGCAGAGGTCCCAGACCCTGCATGATGCCGTATGGCAGGGAGACTGGTATTAAGTACAGGTTGCCATACTATGTTCAGCTGAGTTTAAGTTGGTGCTAATACATATGAAATTCAGTAGGAGCCAGCACTGAGGACTTCCCTGGCCATGGACCTGAAGCTGAGCTGGGCTCAGCCTCCAGAGAGCAGAGACTTCTCAGGGAGCCATGGAGACACTTTACAGCCTCTTGCTAAAACAAGAACCCCTCGCAGCTCTGCTTGCTTCAGCGTTCTGGGTAGGAACAAAGGCTTTATTCTGGCTATGACAAAAGTTTGAAAACAAGTGTGAATGGAAATTTTACTGAAACTAAGGGCAAATTGTGAATAAATTTCTAATTTTCATGTGTGTTCCTTTATCCTGGTTAATACTCATGCACTAATTTTGCATTAATATGCAAAACACAGAACACATATAGAAGGATGAAGAGCTTGTAGGTAACTCCAAGGTCCAAGTACTACAATGGTCTAACTTTTTTTTAGTAGACCAGAACACTGAGCTTCTTGGAGTAGTGCTCTTTGGTGCCCCTTGCCCTGGGAAAATAGGTAATCAAATGCATAACGAAGACGAGAGGTAAAGAAGTGGAACGCTCTCTCAGTTGTGTTTCCAGTTTCCCCTGGGAGTGCTGTGTGCAGGGCAGCCAGGGGGACGTGCATGGGGCCACCGTGGGCAGAGCAGGGGCTGGGTCAGTGCACGCACATGCGTGTGTTTCTCCCATGTGCGTGTGCAGCGTTGTGCCCTCTCCCGGCCCAGTGCTGCTGGGATTGCTCAACACAAGGCCTCTCATGCTCTTTGAAACCGTGTGCCTTCATGGCGTTATTTTCACATCGCCAGGTTCAGCGCCTGAGCTGGGGACACCTTCAGTAGCGGTGTCGTCAGAGCTACTGTATCTGTCACGGCTTTTCCCTGTGGCTCTTGGCTACAGTGAGCTCAGCGATCAGAGCACATGCTCTTGTGCCGCTGTGTGCACATGGGGGCAAAGCGGTGAAAGGAAGGGACAAGGGTTAAGCTGACAATTTCAAGCTGATATCGGGCAGATAGAGCAATTCTTACCTTTTTTTTCAGGCTTCCGGGATCCTGCCCATCCCAGAGTCAGCCTGAAGGTGCATGCCCTGGAAGAAGAGAGTGCCAGGTGGCTGTTCCCAGGTGAATGCCAGCAGTGACACGATGCTCCCCGCTGCTGCTGCTCCCCTCTGCAGCCCCCATCTCACCCGGGCTACGCTGCATACCTGCAGGCGCTGGGGAAAAGTACTGGGTCTCGCAGCATATTAAAACTTTGCTATCAAGGGCCTGTCGGTAGCTTCTAATGAATGAGATGAAAGAAAGCCTCAGAAGGCAAAGAGAAGAAGATGAAAAGCAAGAGAATATTGATTGTAATATGAAGAATGGAGATTGGTTATTACCAGATACTGCCAATGTGGTTTTCATTTTTTTGTGACAAGGGACATAAGCAGCTTTTATCTGGGCATTTGGTCCTCTCCTCCAATTAAGAAGGGAAGTTGTCTTTGCTTTAAAATTTGCTTTTGATGAATTTAAACCTAACTCTGATCAGAGATGTGTCCCTACATCAAACTCAATGACATGTGTCATTGGTTGTGACAAGGTGTCTATGAAATGATGAGGCAATTATAACTGGATAGGTGAGTAATGCATGTAGAGAGAAAGAATTGCAGCAAACCCTCTGTGACCACTATTCAAGAAGTAATGAACGTAGGTATGAGCAGAAAGCTTAGGATCCTGATGCTTTACCAGAAAATTAGTGAAATGGCAAGTATAGCAAGTTTGATTTCTTCATGACCTCTTCCAAACACCTTTGAATTCTTCACAATCTTGTCTGTTATTTGTCTGTATCTTTGCACTTACCATGTTCTCTTATGTTTTGTTAAAAGGGAGAAAAAAAATAAAATAATTTTCCCCCAGTAACTCATGAGCACAATTTTGCTGCATCAGCTTTGTAATAAGGTGGCTTTGGGAAATAACTGACAGTATATTTCTCCTGCTGTATTTAGGTGAAAATCAGTTGAGCCTCTTAACTGAAATGTTTTAAGCTTGTCTTTGTCAGGTAATAAAACTGTGTTGCTTTTTATAACTAAGTGCGTTGTGATATCTATTTCAAAGGCTGACATTTCTAATTTACTAACACCCTTGAGCAGAAAAATCCTATTCAATTTCAAGTGTAAATTCATACACAGATGTTTTAAAGATCTAAGAAAAGGTCAATAAGGACATCGGCAGAATGATGTGGATGCTCCATGCTAACACTATCCAAGACGCTGTTTCAGCAGAGGAGAAAGGGGATTTGGCATCCAAGTTCATTCAGTAAAGCTAATAATCTTAACGTTTCATACATAGAAGGAGGTTACAGGTTGAAACCAATCTCAACAGGGAAGCTGGAAAAAGCAACTAATTATAATAAAAGACCTCTCATATGGTCTTCAGTTTTGAGCAATATTCTACTTTTTCTGTTTATCCAGAGTTTGAGGTTGGTGCCTTTTACCAGAATTCCTGATCACAGATTTTATTTTGTGCTTTCACACAGACAGTTCCTGTTAGGTTTATTTATCTATTTATTTATACTAATGTGAAACGCCACCAATACATTTTTAACTTTACCTTAATGCTAACCAATGTCATCTGGCAATTTTCAGAGTCTGCTGGTGTTCTTGGCCCCTTTTAAAGGTCTTTCTTCATATTTAATGCACTGTTCTTCAGATGCTGTTCATGCACTATTTTCCTGAGTCTGGCTGTCCGAAGGGCAGAGGCGGATCACGGAGGGCGCCTGACTGCAGAGCCATGGAGCAGCATTGGGCTCATGCTGCGGGGGCTCAGCGTCACGGGTGGGGGTCTCAGCTGAGGCATCCCCTGTGGCTGTGGGCACAGGGCTGGTTGTCCTCTAACAGTCCTCCTTTGATGGCCTCAGAGGCTCAGAAAAAAATGATGATCTTCACCTCATCATCTGGGCCTGATGGGACTGACCATCCTTGGCATGCCACATACACCACCACCCTTGGGGTCTGCTGCGTGCCTGAGAGGCAATTTTTACCCATTTACCTATACCGTGGGCAGGTGGAGCTATGAAGGGCCGTTGCCTTTGGCCCTCTGGTCTCTGGCATGGGCAGGCAGCGATCAGCAGAGCCCTGCCAGTCCTGATGTTCAAGTGCTGGGCTGGAGGTGACCTGTCCTGCCACAACAAACAGGTGCCCCCCAAAAAGATGAAATCCATTCCTTTCAGAACAGATAGTTTTGGAGCAAACACAGGCCATGGACCGGTCCTGGCAGGAAACTGCACGGAGCATCCCTGCTCTGGGTGCAGGCCCAGTATGACAGATTAACATTAGGAGCAGCACCCACATCTTGCCTTACAGAGTCAGTGTCAGAGAACTGTCCTGAGCACATTTCACTTCCTAAAATATGCATACTTGCCCCTAAAATAAAGTGAAAATAGATAGGTTCACCTTTTCACTGCGCTTTGTGGGGGAAAGGTGCCTGCGCTTGTGGACTTTCACCAGAGCGTGCCTGGGCCGAGGCCTGGTCCAGACACCCTGCGGCGGGCAGCTGGCATCAATGTGTGCATCTCCATAAGCTGAACCCTAATTCTGATGTGCAGGGTGGCTGCAGGAGAGCAACTGACCTGCTACTGCGGCAGAGCTGCCCGGGCACAGCAGAGGCCATGGTGAAGGCTGTGCCCCTGCCAGCAGCATCCTGCTTCATGCCGCAAAACACCTCCAGGCACCCAGGTTGGTAACGGCCTACACACTTGCTGCTGCAGAGGATTTAGCACTGCACGTCCCAGGCTGGTATGTAACACAGTCTGGAAGGGCCAAAATTCACCAGTCAAAATTATCTTCAGACACCCCAGTTCTACTTTATGATTTACAGACTTCCTCCCTCACTTTTCTCCATCACTTTAGGTTGTAAAGGCAGAGCCAGACTCAGCTGCTAGCAGCATTCCATGCCTCGATATTAAATATTTATGTCTCCTGCAGTTCTCAATGTGTGGGAGTAACTAAAGCTCACCAAATTAGCTAAAACAAAGTGATGTCCTGTGGCACTTGACCAATAATCTGTTTTGGCGTGTGGCATGGTGCCTCTCTGAGGCAGTGGGGAGACCTTTACATCTTCAAAGCTAAGATGTGGTCTCTAATGCCTACACAGTGAAGAAGCTGAATCTTCAGTGTCTGTGGAAATTCATACAAAAACCCACTGGTGACAATCTGTACACTGGTGACAAGGTGTCTGCATACCATCATCGTTTGGACCTACGCACATGCTGAGGCAGTAGGCTGGAGAGGTGGATAACTAGAACAGAAGCAATTCCTTATTTTGGGGGGGAAATATCACAGCGGTTGCTAGAAGTACCAAGATTTTCCAACTGAATTTATCTTCTCTTGAATAAAAATTCTTTGAACAGCTAGAGAGTATATTTAGGAGTATGCATGCAAAGACAAGGTGTGTAAGGCATGAACACCGTGCTAAATTTTTTAACTAGCAACTCTGCCAGCATCACTACCCAAAATTAGAACTGCATGCATTTTACATTAGGTTTTCCTGTTAAGGTCCCCCTGGACTTGCTCATGACCATGGGTTTTCTGCAAGGTGCATTCCTTTAGACATCTGTCATTGTCCTCAAAAAAGTCGTGAGGAAACAGAGGTGAACATGGGGACAGGGAAGAATGAGAATTAATGCATGTGCACCCCACTGTTGATATTTCTTGGGAGGTCCTTTAAAAATCTGACTTCCTTTTAATCCTTTATTCTAGAAAAAAGTTTATTTATGTGTTTTTACAGGTGCTGTTAGCCCTGTTATGCTAGCTTCAGGCTTTCCACAATGGGTGTCAGGTACTGAAGAGGTTTTGCAGTGTAGAAGGCTGTTCGTCAGGTTCTCAGTGATGCTGCAAACCTCATTTGCTCTAATATCCTAGTCAAATGCGGAATTGGCAATTCAAAGCTGAAGGCAGGAGCAGAGCAAGATAATGGATTAAACTTTATTTGTTTAAATTACTAATAGAATTCTTTTGCTTATTATCAGTTTTGAAAATCACAGTAAATTTTTAGAAATGTGAAAGATAAAAAGCCCAAAAGTAGAGTGATAAATCCAGTAAAGATCCCATAAATCTGCCACATATGCTATCACATATGCACGATGACAATATATGTGTGCATTTAGATATACTGAGAATTACATTCTTCTCTGTCTCACTCTCCTCCCCATAGCTATGTTTATGTAGACATATATGTGTTGCAAGAGAGAGAAATATATGCTTTATATTTTAAGAGAAAAAGAGAAACAAGCAAGGATTAGCACTTTTTAGGCACAAGTTTTTATGCTGTATTTTTTAAACCTGCCCATTTAGGGGATTCCATTAGAATTTATGGAATGACACAACTGTAGAATAGTGGTGTTTAAGAGACCTCTGGAGGTAATCTGATCCAAACCCCTGCTCAAAGCTTGTTTAAGGTCATAACCAGTCAGGTTTTGAATATCTGTGGGGATGGAGATATCCCCACCACCCTGGGTCTCAGCCCCAGTGTTTGACCACTGTCATGAGTAAATATTTTTCCCAATACAAAGCAGGATATTTCTGTGTTCTAACATCTTCATTCCCTTTGAGCGTCTCATACTGTTTGTTATTTATTTATTACCCATTATTTATTCACTAGCTGAAGCATGATGCCTGGTATGAACACAGGTATGCTGGCAGGACTGTGTTTCACTGCTTTTGAAGCACAGCCTGCTAGCTCGGATCGTGAGAAGTTCTGACCCCAGCAGCAGCTGGTGCTCACTGGATGCAGCCACGTAGGACAACTGCCTGAGCAGCCTCGTGTCCATCGTGCTGGTGGGAAGTATTTTCTGGTTGGGAGGGTTTTGATGGGCTTACTGGACTTGTAAGGCTGAACCATCCACATGTTTAACAGCAGTGAAATTGCTGATATAAACAAGTTCCACATTGGGCAGCTGCCCACACTGCCAGACATGCGTTATCAGGGTAGGTATGGATGCTCCCTCCTCTCCCAGCTACTCCAAGGACATCATCCCTTCCCAAGGCTGTCCTGTGGCTCTGGTCCTGCCTCCAAGCCTGGTGAAACAAGGTGCTAATGGAGAAAATCACCCTGCTTCAATGTCAAAAGGCAAAATGATCCTTAAATCAAGTAATGTCATAAAAAATCTTGACAGCGATGGCATAGTTGGTGTATGACTCAGACTGATCATTAAAAATTCAGGTAATACCTGGATGAAGGTTAAATATTGATCGTCTTGAAAAGCCTACCTGCTGAAGGACAGAACCAGAAGAAACCTTGCAGAGAATATGAGTGTAAATTTGGGAACAGTCAGCATAATGGAAGTACAAGGTCATGCACAGGACTTGAAAAGAGTGTAGGAAGCAAGTTTTGATGATAAACAGGGACTACATGACCCTGTGAGTCAGAAAGCTCTTTGTATTGCCTTCATGGCATCTCATATCTGCTAGATGTTACAGCCTGTCTTTATTTCTCTCAAAATTTGCATTTACCCTTTGCACTGTATTTTATACCTTTCCTATAGTAGTCAGGTTTGCATACCGAAAAAAGTTAGTACCGCACATTTCAATCCACCTCTCCCTGGGAACTCTACAGTGATCACGCTGCTCTTCTGCGACTACACTATAGAGTGCTGGGGTGAGGCAGATATTGCTTTACCCTAGAGACAGATCCTGCCCCAGGCATGGGAAGTGGTGGGTGCCCACCAGGCCAGCCCTGGTCCTGCTCAGGGCGGGCAGGAGGTGCCAGTGCCCTTGGGGCAGTGAGACTGCATGGGGTACCCAGACACAGCCCCTCCTGCCCAGCCTGTGCCCAGGCATCACCCCAGGAACGTGGTATCCTGGAGCGTGGCTAGTGGAGCCCAGACGTGGCACAGATCACATCTACCTGAGCTTCTGGAGATCAGCACTACCACTGGTGATAAATATGTGCAAAGACAATTATCCATAAAGGAGACTTGTCGTCCAAGTTCTCTGGTCATCCCACTAGGTGTTGTATGCTGAATGTGACTGTGCCTTGGTGGAGACATCGCTGT